AATGGAAGAAAGAGAAAAAACCCAAGAGGCCAATGGAAGCAACACCAGGCCTCTAGCGGGCTTGCCAACCCCACTTCTGATGACCTCCCTCCCCGCCCCAGGCCAGATGGCAGAGCCAGGCAGTTAAATATGGCAGTTATGCGCACAGTATATGCATTGGTGCCCTGGAGAAAATAAGACAGTCTAAAATTCGGGTCCCAGTGCTCTGTTCTTTCCAGTAATGGGGATAAATATTTAAGCCTGATGGATGCATGTAAGTGACAGTTAAACAGAATACGAGAAATATTTTCAATGTCACGTGAACCACATATACAAGTTCTTTCATGAAATGGAGTATTACAGAAGTGTCCATATTGGCCATTGAGTCCCACAGCTCAAATCTTGTTCTGGTAAAAGCCCTTCTTAAAAATTGAGGCAGACTCATAAATAGGCATTTTTCAGGTTGAAAATGTATTTTGTTAGTAGCCAACCACCTTAAAGATCTATTTTTGGCTATAAGTTCCAAGTCAGTCTGGGTACTTATAACACTCTGCTTGAAAATTTTCCTTGCTTGGGAGGCCCTAAGTAATAGGTGCTGAATAGAGAGCCTATAACATGAGATAACGTCATAGATTATTGAAATCTGTCTAGATCTTCTTGAGTCGTTTCATTTGAAATATTAGCTACCCTGCTCAGTTTTGTGCCATCTACAGACTGTGTAAGTATCCCCTCATCCAAGCCACTGATAAAAAGAATAGCACAGGGCCCAGGACAAAACTCTGTGGCACTCCACAACCATACTTACCTAATAGTCTTTGGGTGCCAGTTGTGAATCCATCTAACAGTAGTATCATCTAGCCCATATTCCTTGTTATTACTTCCCCAGCTTCCCTGTGCAATAGATCAACAGCCTAGTTGACTCTTCTTTTACTTTGGATATATCTGACACACCCCTTAGTATATTTTATAGTCCTTGCCAGGCACATCTCAGTCTGAGTTTTGACCCTCCTGATTCCATCCCTAAAGGCTTGAGCTACTCCCTTTTTTAGCTTGCCAGTTTGCCGTTCATCCATAAAGACCTTTTAAAGCATTCCCCATTTTTTCTTACTCATGAGGATCATTTCTGTCTTTTCAGTATCTCATTTTTCTCAATCTCTCACTCCCTTTATTTTTTTTTATAACTTTAGGATCTTGAGCCATGGTATGTTACCTACCTTTCATAAGAATATATTAAAATCTGCTTTCCTAAATCTAAATTGTACCACTAATTTCTCTCAACTTTTTCTGCCCTAATTACTCTCATTTCCAACATAATATGTTCATTTTTCCCAAGATGCCTGCCACCTTCAGTCTACTGACCCTCTCTACTGATCAGGATTAGGCCCTGAAAAATTGACCCTGTTGTGCTTTTTTCTTCCACATTAAGCAATGGGGCCAGAATCTATTGGAGAAGTTAACAGATATCAGGACAGTCCCCCATTTAATTTCCATATTAAGTCTATTAATTCCAGTGTCATTTCTGCTCTTTCTTGGCACATCTCCAAGAACTCCCTACTCCCATTGGAGGCTTTCTACCACCTTGGGCCCTCCCTTGACCCCCTCTGCTCCTAGACTTCTTGTGCCCTCTCCTCCTCAGATATCTTTTTTCTTTTTCTTTTTGCCCTTTTAGAAAGGACCCCGTGCAGTATCTGTATGCTTTTCACCTTCCCTGATAGGTGAAACTGACAGAAAGTCTGGTTTCCATCTTTTACTTTATCTTCAATCCTGGAGATAAGCCTGCACCTGCCACCAGCTTAATTGGTTAACTCCTTTGAAAGGAAGCACACACTTGGCAGGTCACTATGACTGCTCTGGTCTTCAGGAAGGGTCTGAGGACACTTGTTTCTCCTTTCACCCAATCCCCATTTCTTTCTGCTTGCTCTGGTTATGAGCTCCAAGTTGCCTATCCTATTTCTCATGAATGCTACCTCCTGCCAATTCAAAGATTTGAATTTTTGGAATGATTCAGAAGGAGGGGTGATGTTGGCATCCCCTAAACTTCAGCACCCTAGCCTAGTGCCTACTCAGCCTTAGCCTAAAGCTGGCCCTGTCCTCACCGTCTTTGTTGCTCTTGCTTGTACTCTTTCTAGTTCCTCAGCATCCTTCTGGCAGCCAGAACTGGGCATAGTATTCCAGATGTGATCTGACTAGTACAGATCAGAGCAGAACTATCACTTCCTGTGATCTCAACACAGTACTTCTGTTGATCCAACCCAAAATTGTATTGGCTGTTTTGGCAGCTGCAGAACACTGCTGGCTCATGCTTAATCTGCAGTCTATCAGGACAGAAATATTTCCCAGAAGTATTACTGCTGAACCTATCTTGAACTATGCATCTGGTTTTTCTTACCTAAGTGCAGAACCTTACACTTCTCATTTTAGATACATAACAAATTGTACAATTAGCATTTATTGTAAAAATACACAAGAGATGTTTCCCTCTTTTCTGGATCTTGATCCCAAGGACTTAGATGGACAATGAAGTCTCCCTTTCTGTTGATCTTCCATTAATGGAGGTAGGTAAACTTCTTTTGGAGGAGAAATCTGGCATCTATATGAATACTTGATGAAAAGGGTACTCACAATAACTTTCAAAAGTTATTCTCTTGAACATACAGTATAAAGATAAGCTACATATCAATCATTTCTGAACTACCTTCTAACTTTCCTGAACATAATATAATTACTCAGGTGACAGTGAAGGGAACATCTTCAGAAATTCCTTCCTATAATTTGATTGAAATCTTTCTTTAAAAAATCAAAATATTTTTCTGCCTCCTCCATTAAGTGAGGATAGGCCAACGAGTCTCAAACTTGCAGTATAGACTCTATATTGTGCAATTTTACACATATGCTGTGTAAAATGTATGATGATTACTCCTAGATTTACTGACAAGGCTGAACATCCCTCACTTATAAATAAAAAAAATCTTAGGAGCTTAGGTACTTTGTAGGAAGTACTGTTGTAATACAGTTTTTCAAGTAAAAGACCTAAAACCATAAAGATAAAGAACAATCATGCCATTTTAATGTCTATGTTTTATCTAAAGTTAATAGAAGCAAGAGCAAGCAAGTACGAAAGATTGGTAAGGCACTGCTTGATCTGCATAGCATCCTGAAACTGTAAGTTATCCTTCTTTCTCAAAGCAATTGAGAAACTTTAACTACAGTGCTTGGAAACCTTTCCCAGGTAAGTTCTATCTGTGCTGGAGTTTCTAGAAGAATTCACCAGATGCTACAGATGTTAGCATGCTACCTCATCTCCCATGAAACCTGTTCAGTAATGAATTCTGTCTAAATGATAAACTGTGAACAGGGCATGGAAGAGCAACAATGGTGGTGGAAGAGAAGGTTAGGACTCTAGGCTCATTGCTTTCTACTATCTCCAGGCTCGTATTGCAGTTGCTTGTCATCAGCTGATATGTTCAGTCATTCACCTTCTTCCTTTCCCCTCACTCTTTGTCTCTGTTGTCATTGCCATTTGGCAGCATATTAGGGTACCAGTATTTGGTAGCAAGGGTAGTGGTGGTTCCATCAACTCAGTCCTTAGATGGAAGCAGACTTTGTTCCTATGCTGTAAAGCAATCTTCCCCAACCTGTTCATTTACAACATCTATCACCCCTGTCAAAATTCAAAATTTTGTATACAGAGAAACATCACATTTCTTCCATTTCAAAAACCCCAAGGCAGGCATGCTTACCATTTCTTTTCTTGGCTGTTTGATAAATTTTTTTAAATCCTTTTTCTAATGCAGGGAGCTTAATTCCAGACAAGTTGTTTGAATGGTCCCGGTGCTGTGCTACAATAAGGGCCAGCTAGGAAGAAATTACATTTTGAATAGTGAGCAAATCAAGTAAACAAAATGGATTGTCAAGAAAAAATAATTCGCTTCCCTTTTCACAAATGCTATGTCTTTTGAATGTTGAATTTTGAACTAATCCTGGTATTTTAATTTTTATTGTTTTTCCTTCAATGTGTGGTTACTTAAAAATGTAAGTGTAGGTAGGCAGGCAGGCAGAGACAATCTAGCCAGGATTGCTATAAATCAGTAACTGAGTAACTTCCATGCTTAATAAGATGTAAACTGTTTACATTCTGTAGCTTTTACTAATATTCAGCTATGTATTTTATTGTGTTCCTATCTGTGTAGGATACAATTTAGAATTACTTAAAGAAAAACATATTTTTGTATAGTTACCAAATCCGTTCCTTTATTCCTGGATTCCTTATCATCAATGCAGAATAAAAGAGTTCCTCCTAATGTCAGGTCTACAAAAATAATCAACAGGAGTGGAAAACATTTAGTCCTATTTAGATTTAAATTGAGGGAAAATTTTACTGAACAGTCCTACAACTCTAATAAAGAACCAACTGTTGTATTCTTTCTCGTAATATTTAGCATTATTATGGCTTTCCTTAGATGGTACTTAAAGAAAACAGCAGGCAAGGGAAAGCAGTTCCCTGTAGTACTATTTATTGGCACAGATTCATTCCTATGTAAAAGAAAAAAGGCTGTGTAAACGACTGGCTGGAATTAATATTTAAATGAGTGGTGGCAACTCAGCCTTTGGATGTCTTAGATTTGCAAAGCTGGCTGTCACCTCCTAAAATAATGGAAAGATGACTTACCTTTCATCTTTCCCGCCAGCTCATATATTTTCTTTGGTTGATCAGAACGATTCCCCAGAGCTGTGAATAAACCTCCTCTTCCCCAGTGGCCAGAATCATCTGAAGCAAAGAACTGTATGTTAAGAAGTTTAATTTAAAGTTGAGGAAAACTATCCACAAAGGATGGCTTCTTTGAAATAGCCTTCCAAGAGTTGTATTTTCAGAATTCTGTCTTTTTGTTCTTCCTAGAGATTACAACAACAAATGCAGACAAATTAACAGTTACAGTCCCTATTCCATTTAGACTGAAGAAGGAATAGGAAGCAAAACCATTCTATTGGCTAAGATGACAGCCAATTTTAGTAATTTTAGAGGCAATTAACCTCCCTCTCCTCCCCCAATTCTGCAAGCCTGATCTATATCAACCTTTAATTAAGAGGGGGAAATCTGTTAGCTTAAAATATGAATTACTGTATTTATCGGCATATAACATGCACAGGTGTATAGCACGCACCTTAATTTTAAGAAGGAAGTTTGAGTAAAAAAACTTAAATTTAAAATAAATTACTTGGAAGCAAAATAAAGGAAGCTCTGAACTTTTTGTTTATTAATATTTATACCACTTAT